GAAAGAAAGAAATAAAATTATTCTTGTTTACTAATGATATAATCCTATACTTAGGAGACCCTAAAGACTCTACCAAAAGACTTTAAGAGCTGATAAATGAATTCAACAATGTAAGAGAATATAAAATTAACATTTAAAACATCAATAGCTTTACTATAAACAAATAGTAGATTAGCTGAGAAAGAAACCAGGAAACCAAGTCCATTCAGAATAGCTTCACTATCTAGGGATCAGTCTAATCAAGGAGATGAAAGACCTCTACAATGAAAACTTCAGAACACTGAAGTAAGAAATTGAAGAAGACACTAGAATATAGAAAGACCTTCCATGTTCATGGATTGGAAGAACTAATATTGTCCAATTGGCCATATTACCAAAAGTGATCTACAGTTTCATGCAATCCCCATGAAAATATCAATGACATTCTTCACAGAACTGGAAAAAAATCCTTTTCTGTTGTTTGTTTTGTTTGTTTGTTTTGCCTTCTTCTCTCCTCAGACTCTTTTTGTTTTGTTTTTTGGTACCGGGAATCGAACTCAGGACCTTGCACTTGTCAGGCAAGTGCTTGTGCTGCTGAGCTATATCCCCAGCCCCTTGGAAAAAAATTCTAAAATTCATATGAATTTTAGAAAAGGAAAACAGAAAAGGCCCAGAAAAGCCAAAGCAATTCTAAGGGGAAAAAACAAGATTGAAAGCATCATAATACCTAATTTCAAATTACACTACAAAGCTATAGTAACAAAAACAGCATGGTAGTGGCAACAGTCATATAGACCAATGGAAAAAAATATAGCAAACAGAAACAAACCCAAGTAATAACAGCCATCTAATTCTGGACAAAGGAGCCAAAAATATAGTTAGCAAAAAGAATGTCTCTTGAACATAAGTGCTGGGAAAACTGGATATTCACTTGTAGAAGATTGAAGCTAAATATCTACCTCTCACTGTACAAAAACCAATTCAAAAATCAAAATTTTGAAACTGCTAGGAGAAAATATAGGAGAAACACTTGAAGTGGTAGGCATAGGCAAAGACTCCTGAATAAGACTCCAAAAGCATAGGAAATAATAGCAAGAATCAACAAATAGAACTATAGCAAGGGAAACAAAATTATCTTAGCTGGAAAAGTAGCTCAGTTGTAAAGACTTATCCAGAATGCAGAAGGCCCTATGTCCAATCCCAAGTACCAATAAACTAACAAACAAACTTGCTCCATTGTATTGGCTTTCTTCTTTTATCAAAAACTAGTTAACTATATTTATAGAATTTCTAGCCACTCTACTCTGTTTCACTGAACTATTTATATATTCTTTCACCAAACAAATTGTCTTGATTATAGCTGTATAGTAAGTCTTGAATTCAAAGAGTGTTAGGGTTTTTTCTTCAGTATTGTACTGATTATCTATTAGTCCCTCTCCCATTGATGAGACAAAATACACAACACTCACAACTTAATGAAGGAGAGGTCCCACTAAAGCTATTGGAAGAGAAGGTAGGTAAAAAACCTTGAAGACATAGGGGTAGGAAGAGAGTTCATGAACAAAAACCAAATTGCACGTGAAACACTTGAAAGAATCAACAACTGGGATCTCATCCTACTGAAAAGTTTCTGCACATCTAAAGAAATCACCAGCAGAGTAGAAAGAAAACCCACAAACTTGGAAAAAATTTTAGCTGATTGTCCATCAGACAAAAGGCTTCTATCTAGAACATATAAAGAATTAAAAATTTTCAGCCCCTCCAAATTCAAAGACCCAATCCAAAAATGGGCAGAGGAGATGAATACACACTTCTCAGACAAGGAGATACAAATGGCAAATAAATATATGAGAAAATGTTCAACATCATTAGTCATTCGAGAAATGCAAATTAAAACAACACTGAGATTCCACCTTACCCCAGTAAGAATGGCTAGCATTAAGAAATCAACCAATAACAAATGCTGGCGAGGCTGTGGAGAAATAGGAACCCTTCTCCACTGCTGGTGGGAATGCAGACTGGTGAAACCACTGTGGAAATCAGTTTGGAAAGTCCTCAGAAAACTAGGTCTAGAGGTCCCATTCAACCCAGCTATCTCCCTGCTGGGTATTTTCCCAGAAGATCTAAAAACATCATATCACAGTGATATATGTGCACCTATGTTCACAGCAGCACAATTTGTAATTGCTAAAATGTGGAAGCAACCCAAATGTCCATCCACTGAGGATTGGATAAGAAAATTGTGATACTTTTATATAATGGAATATTACTCAGCTGTAAAGAAAGAAAAACTCGAGGCTTTTATAGGCAAATGGTCACAACTAGAGACCATACTCATAAGCGAAATAAATCAAACATACATGTGCAAGCACCGCATTGTTTCTCTAGTGTAAAGCCTGAAAGAGTTAATTTAAACTAGGAGATATGACAGACATTGAGAATTGATAGGAAAGCACTCGTAGGTAAAGGATAACTGGAATATGGGAAAAGAGAAGGGAAAGAAGGAGAAAGTTTGTATATATGTATATGCAGGATAGTTAACACAGGTGTTCTACTGTCCTGTATTTCCTTGCTGAAAGAAACTGTCAGTGAGGCATTGGTTGATTAGCTTTGTATGTCTATATGTGTTTTCATGAGAAACTACATTAAAGATATCAATATGTAATACAATAAGCATTGTTAATTCCCTACCACTCTGTAACTCTGTAACGTCTGTACTGATCCTTTGCTATTTTGTAAAACGTTGTCGATCTGTTAGTATTTTCCTCCTTTTATTTCTAAAATTTAAAAAAATAAAAAAATTTTTAAAAAAGGAGAGGTCCATTTTGGCTCACAGTTTAAGAGTGTTCAGTCAGTCCATAGTTGGCTGCTTCCAAGATAGAAACAGCATGGTGGAAGGACATGGCTGAGGGAAACTGCTCACCCATGACAGCTAGGAAGGAGAGAGGAGTGGAGAGGCAGACAAGGGACGGGAAGGGGAAGGAAGAGGAGGTTAAGTGAAGCCAGTGACAAAAATATACCAGACATCTCCACCTCCCAATCTCCAACAAAACAAGTCAGTTGGATGTGGTTTTTTAAAAAAACACACCAGGGACAAAAATATATACCAACTATAATAAGTCTTTCACATCTTCTTATAAAGTTTAAAATTAGTTTGTCAGTACCTATAAAATACTTTTTCTAGGATTGGACTGGGATTTTATTCAAAGTAATATAAAAGAACTGCCTTTGACTATATTGAGCCTTCCTATCCACAAATATGGAATGTTTCCATTTATTTAGTTCCTCTTTGATTTCTTTCAACAGAATTTTGTAGCTCTTCTCATAGATATTATACATATTTTATTAGCTTTATACTTAAGTATTTCCGTTTGGGGGGGTACTAATGTAAAAAGTATTGTGCTTTCCATTTCATATTCCACTCATTCTTTACTGGTAGAGTGGTACCTTGGTTCACAAATGCTTTTGTTCACCAACAATTTGGTTCACAAACAGAAGCATTTGGTAAATTTTGTTTTTGTTTGCAAACTCTGTATCAAGTGACAAACATGACCACAGCCATCATTCCCAGACAAACACAAACATGGCCACTTTTTCCAGAATCATAGAACAAAGTAAGCCCCTGAACCAAGGAACCACTATATAGACTACACTTTTGTATATTATCCTTGTACCTGCAATCTTGCTATAACTGCTTATTAGAGGGTTTTTTGCTTATTAGTTCTTGAGGGGTTTTCACTTCTTTCACATTTTATATGAAGATAATCACATCATCTGCAAATAAAAGGGTTTCATTTCTTCCTTCCCAGTAAGTAAACTTTTTATTTCACTTCCTTGTCTTACTAAATTAGGTAGGACATCCAGTATAGTTTTGAAAAAGCACAGTAAGAGAGGAAATCCTTACATAGTTTCTGATCTCAGTAGGAAAACTTCTTGCTTCTTAACAGTTGAAAGTGTTGAATAACTGGAGTTGTATTTCCTTATTTTAATATCAATTAGGCTCTGACAGAACCCCAACAAGTAAGGCTCCGGCTAACTAGGTTTCTTCCCCCCGCGGCCCCCATGGAAATGTAAGATTTTTCCCAAAATTTACTGTGAGAACCTGGTCAGACTCCTGTAGGTTAATATCACAAATGTGTGGGAGTCCCCCATATGACAAGGATTCCCTGAAGTTTTTAACTATGAGACTTGCCCACATCTACTTTCCAAAACTTAATCAGTTTACAGTTTAGATTTCTCTACCTGGTACTGGTTCCCACAGAAGTTTCCGTTCCAATATGCTGTGATTTTCTGTATCTATGTTTCTTTAATAATTTACCCTACTTCCCTAATGAATTTAAGAAAAGAAGTTGATTTTTTTTTTCATTTGTTCAGCTTTTACCTCTTGTTAGGACAGAGTGGTGACTTCCAAGCTCTTTACACCTAGAATCTTTTTTTTTTTTTTTCCGGTACCGGGAATCGAACTCACCACGTCGCACTTGCCAGGCAGGCGCTGTGCCGCTGAGCTAAATCCCCAGCCCCTACACCTAGAATCAATAATGAGAACTCTTGATATTTTTCCCCAACTGGCCATACTGTTTTATGATTGCAGAAATTAATTTTAATTTACACTTAAAATAACTTTTGATACAGAACTTACCATTGGCATTTTATTTCTTCAGTCTTATGATAATTTTGTTCATTTTCTTCTCTTACTGCTTGTGTGTCTCATTGATTTTGTATGTGTTGACATGCTTACACTGTTTTTCTCATTTTATCCTGTGCATCTTCTATAGGTAGTTTCCTTGTGGTTATCATGAACCCTACATAAAACATCTTACAGTTATGTTTTAAACTGATAACTATTTCAATCACATACAAAAACTGTAATTCTTACCTGCCCCCTTCATGTTATCAATGTAAAAAAAGTCTTTTACATTTTGTATGCATTACTTTAGTTTTATATACTTACTTCTCTTTTCTGTTTTAAATCCTACACCAGAATTATATACCCTCACATATATACCACACACCAGAATTTATATACACCATCATTATAACATTACAGTATTCTTTAGCTATACACTTACTAGTGAGATAGTTTTATATGCTTTTGCACTGCTGTCTTACATCTTTCTGTTTCGACTTGAACGTCCAGTTTCAATTATCTTTTTTAGTATTTCTTGTAAGTCAATTCTAGTTATGGTTAATTCCCTCAGTTTTGTTTACCTTGTAAAGTATTTCTCCTTCATTTTTGTTTTTGTTTGTTTTTTTGGTCTTTTTGAGACAGGGTCTTGCTATGCAGTTCAGGCCAGCCTTGAGCTCACTTTGTAGCCCAGGTTAGTCTCGAACTCACAACGATCCTCTTTCCTCAACCTCCCAAGTGCTGGGATTACAGGCATGCGCCACCACGCTCGGCTTCTCCTTCATTTTTGAAGGACAGTTTTGCCAGTTATAGTATTCTTGTTCAGCAGTTTTTTTAATTTTGTTTTGTTGGGGGTTTTACCCCAGCATTTTGAATGTATCATCACACTCTCTTCTGGCTTATAAGGTTTCTGCTGAGAAATTCCCTGGTAAAATTATGGAAGCACCCTTATATGTGATTTGCTTTTCTCTTGCCATTTTAAAGGTTTTCTCTTTGTCTCTGTTAACATTTTTATTGTAATGTTTCTTACTGTGGATCTCTTTTGCTCACCTTAGAGTTCTCCGAGCTTCTTTTATTAGGATATTCATTTCCATTCTCAGATTTGGGAAGTTTTGGACCATTATTTCTTCAAATAAGCTTTCTGCCCCTGTTCTGTCTTTCCTTGTTATTAAATTCCCATAATACATATACTGATCCACTTGATAGTGTCCCACAAATCCCTTAGAATTTGCTTTTTTTTTTTTTTTTGCTTTTTTGTCCCTGACCCAATAATTTCAAATTACCTGAATTTGCGTTTACTGATTACTTTGCTTAATCAAGTCTGTTGTTGAAACCTTCTAGTGAATTTTTCAATTATTGCATTTTAATCCATTTCAGAATGTGTTTTTTGCAAAATCAGGCATACAAAAAAAATTTGTTTTTTGTAAAAATTTTGGACAGTGGTTAGCTTGAGAAGGAGGGGAAATGGAATGGAGATAAGTCTATAAGGGACTTCAATTATGTCAATGTTTAATTTATGTAAGCTGTCTTACATCTTTAGGCCTTTAGAATATAAGGCCTAAAGAATATAAGCTCCCAAGTTATTTTTTATATAGTTTATGTGGTGATATTTTCATTTTAGTCATGTATAATTTTTCTGATTTTTAACAGACTAGCCTTACACAGATCTTCAGTAATCACCCCAGCTAGACTCAGGGGAGGGTTCTGGGAGATTCTGGATCTTTCTGAGGGGATGTGACCTCTCTAGGCTTTATGCTTTTAATTTCCCAAAGTTTTGCCAGCTTCTTTCTCAGGCGCTCACAATTTTTTGCTCCCCCTGGTGTCTATGTGCAGTACTGCAGTTTCTCTGGTACTAAGAAAGCCTATCACTTGTGTTCAATGGCTGCTAGACACTCAAATTATGCGGACTTCCCATTAGAATCCCTAACCAAGCAAAACATATACCAGTCCCCTGGGCAACTCCCTGAAAACAAAAACAGGCCGAATATTGAGCATGTGCTCTACTCTCCTCCCTCCCTACCAAGGGACCAGCTGCAACTGGGACCCTTTTCCCAATCATGCTGAGTGTGCTGGCCTGTCTACCATTATTGTAGGCCCTCATAATACAGCAAGCTGCCTCACACCCCGGCTTCGAGTGGCTCCCCATGTACTCATATTATTCCATTTCCATTAATTTTCCAAGTTAGGCAAGAGAGGAGCCAGTTCCTTGGGAAGTCCTCTGAAAAGTCAGAATACTGGATGCATAATCCATTTTCTTTTCCCCCCACGGGAGCAGGTATGATTCAAATTGAGCCATGCCAGCTTAGAGAAAGGGCAAGGTAAAGACTTCTTCACCATTTCAATGTAGTTCTTATTGGCTCTGTGGTTGCCCGAGCTCCTGAAACTCCCTAATTCTGGAAGAACTCCAGAGTTCTCATAAAGGTATTTGGGCCTATATCTTGGTTTTTTAGTACATGTGTGAGCACAAGCTATATACTGTTGAAGCTGTTGCCTCTCTGTGGGACTAGGGCCTGGGATGTCATATTCTATCTTGCTGAGACCACCACTTCATATCTTTCTTATAATGTGATTTCATTTAATCTAAAACATTATCAGTTCTAAAACATATTCCAACTCTGGAAATGATAAAATGTGTAGGAAAAAAATTCTCTGATGTTAGTGAGACACCTGTAGTAAAATGCACCAGTCTTGTTATGGCAATCCAGGAGAGAGAGAGCAGGGCAGAAAAGCGAGGAAAGAGAAGAGGAAGTTAGTGACACGTCATGATGTGAAGACTCTCAATCTTTAGAAAGCAGTCTAAACGGACAAAATGCTTGGCTGGATGTAATTTCTAAAGTGCTGAGTTCCATGACAGGGACAATGGAGACAAAATAGAGAACGCTTGAGTAGATCACAGGAACTTCAGGCAAGAAGAACCCCTGAGGTCATAAATCCTAGTAATCTGCAGAAATTGCATAGAGGGTTTGAGTTTCTATCCTGTGAAAGTGACAAGACTCTGAGGTGATCATCCAAAGCCCTCTTTTGGGATCCAAAAGACCCCAGCAGGCACCCAGTTTAGAGTACCGCCAAAATCACTTGAATCCCTACACATTCATCTTTTACACTACACTGTCTTTCCTAAAAGGTGAGTGGTATCCTGTCATTCCTCTACTTTAAAATTCTATTGTCCACAATCTAGATCTCATCTGGCATCCAACACCCTTCGTGATCTGGCCTATCTACCTTACCACCCTCCTCTCCATCTGGACACTAACTACATCAAACATTGCATTGTCCCCTCAAACACCACATCTCCCTTTCCATCTGAAAAAAACCTTCTAGTTCTTTTTACCTACTCATTCTTCAGGTCCCTTCAGAAGAGCTTGCCACTTCTACTTGTGTTCCCCCAGCACCTTGTTCAAAGGAGTTTCTGTTCCTCTGACTTCTTGGAAGAACTATGTCTTACTCACTCCTGGCCCCTTAACCAGAACAGGCTAGATTAAGCTCTCCCCTGGGCCCCTTCAGAACCCTGGGTACAACTATAATGTCATCTATCACTGCGTTGTAATTTGTCAGTTTAATGCACCAAAGAACACAGTGTCACATTATCTTGTCAATTTTTCTAGCTACCAGGTAGAGAAAGGAGGGTGAGTTGAAGAAAGAAGGGAAGAGAAGGAAACAGACAGGTGGAAAGAAAAGAAAAAAATGGAAAAAATAAAGGAAGTTAACCAAAAAAGGAAGTCAGAGAATGAATAAATGGGCTAATCAGTACTCATTGTCAAGCCAGGCGTGGTGGTGCATGCCTGTAATCCCAGCACTCAGGAGGCTGAGGCAGGAGGATCGCTCCAAGTTTGAGGGCAGCATGGGCTACAAGGCGAGACCTTGTCTTAAAAAAAAAAATTGTTGAACACAGAAACCCTAGCCTATAAGCTAAATCTATAAAAGGACATATGAGCTTGGCCAGGGAGTCTCATCCTATGATCAAAGCAAGTCCCTGGAACATTCATTCTCAGCCTCACTGGCAGCAGAAGTTTTCAGTTTTCTATAGGGCTCTAAGTCAGGAAGGATAATCACACAAAGCTCCCTGGACTGGGAGGGGTCCGGTAGACCTGGCTTTACAATGGGTATAATGAAGAGCTTGTTCTTACAATCAGACATTCTTATTTAAATACCAGCTCTACAAGTCAGATAATTTAGACTCACAGAGCCTTATATTGAAATGGGGACATTACTACCTCACAGAATAGTAGAGCTAGTAAGTATGTAACAACTAGCAGCAGGAGGCATTTGATATATGTGGCTTTTATTATTAGAATGTGTGTCACTTAACATGTTTTAGATTAGGTTATTACATTTAAAATATTATGTGGAGATTTTCAAGGAACAAGAAAATCTATATAAAATAAAAGTGCTTTGTAAACTATAAAGTGCCCTACAAATGTAAGAGAATCACTTGGGAAGGAGTCTTCTATAGCTTAAAGAACAAAACAAAACCAAAACCAACCACCTTTGGGTAGAAGTAGGTTCAGTTCCAGGCCCTGCCAGTTACTTGCTGTTTTCATGAGCAAGTCACTTTCTGCCAGCCTCTTTCCACGTATGTCAAGTGCAGACAGCTCGTTTCACGTGGTTGTCAAAAGTCGAGAGTGAAAGCTCCTGGCACCTCCCTTCCTGAATGAGCGGCCAGATACCCATCTGATAGGTCAGGTCCTGGGTGTTATTAATTCATATTCTGCGAGCCAGTGCCAAATGAACAGGGCTCCATATTATGACAGCCAAGATCCTGGACCAGTGGTGGTCCAAGGCACACGTGCTGCAGCAGGCCGTTTATCAGTGAAAGCTCTAAAAGGTTTGCCATCATTGCCCTAGACTAATGAGAAAGGTAGGAAAGGGTGTTTTGTTTTTGTTAGAGGAAAGCTGGGTTAATGCTAAACTTCCCTGCTAAAAAAAATTGTTTAAATCTTCCATGTGAAGACTGGACAGGAAATGGCTGCACTGGAACAATCTCTCCAGCTCCCCAGCTGTGCCAGTCTTAGGGACTAAATTATTGGTCCTAAAGGCAAACTCTCATTATGGTTCCTGAGAGTTCTCTCATCCTATCCCTCACCCTCTACTCCCTGCCACTGTCAGTTTTCTTAGCCACAGAAGTACTCAATAAATAAAGCTGAAATGGCTCTCACGCTTCGTACAGACTTCCCAAGTGAATGTTCCAGAGCCATATCAAGAGACCACACTGGTCCCACCTCCAGGCCAGCCTCCCATGTGCTCCTCCGCCACAGACCCACAAGGTGAATTCAGTGAAAAGAGCATCCCCTGGGAGGCCCACCTTTAAACTGCTCCACTATGTGCCTGTTGTGTGACTTCATCTTTCCGTACATCCATTTCCGCATCTAATACCCCTGGGGATTGCTACGACAACAATAAAATGAAGAACATAAAGTAACCCGAAGAATCAGAATCACCAGTGTAGGGTTAGATGCTCAGTGGATGTTAGTCCTTGCCTTTGCCCCTTTCCCTCAAAGGCCCCAGAAACTCAGCCTGCTTTCTTTTGCTTTTCAGAGCAGCCAACCATCTCACACTCTTGGAATTCATCTTCCTTACACAATGACTGGACGGGGACAATCTCCCCAGCTCCCCACTTCCCCAAATAAGTACACAGGTCCTTGTCATTGAAGGGTTTTACTGCTGATCACTCTAGGGAAACAGATGCAAGTTTGGGTAGGGATAACAGGTAACAAACATGGGAGAGTGTGAGGTCGCCGAATCACGAATCCCTGAGGGCTCTCCTTTCAATTCTAAGGCAGGACCTCAAACCTCTTCTTAGACTATTAGGAGGGCCACTCCTGCCAGCCTAGACATCTAGAAGCACACTTGGGTTGGGCCACGGCAGGCATGAACAAGCAGGCCTCTGCAGTCTGCCCTACACAGTTCACCGACTATATAGAGGCCCTGCAAACAGAGACACCATCTTACAGGTGTTTCCTTAAAGACCAGAGGACTGCAGCCTTAATGGTATGAACATGTTCTGAGCCTACCCTATTTCTCTGTTACCCCCAAAGAGGTGAAGCCAAGACTGGATCCTCTGACTTTCCAAGGCAAGGAACTTCCTGAGAGAAGGCTAGGTTTTTCACTTAGAGTCCTTTCTCAGGAATTCCTGGACATCCTGATTCCAGAGACAATAGGAAACCACTCTCTAAAGTGGGATGAAGGGCTCAAGGTCAAGGGGGCAGCAGCAGATCCCAAAGACCTTCATCCTCCACTAAGGGTGAATCTTTCACTCTGTCTCCCACTCTGTAAGTGGGGCTCCTCTTCAGCTGGACTCTTTCCCAGACTGCTCACCCATGTGTGTTTTCTGGTGGCGGATGAGATTAGAGCTTCGGGAGAAGTGTTTCCCACACAGGGTGCAACGGTAGGGCTTCTCCCCTCTGTGGGTCCTTTGGTGCGCTCCAAAGTTGGAGATATCGCTGAAGGTCCGCCCACACTCAGCACACTCGTAAGGCCTCTCACCCGTGTGGGTGCGGTGGTGCACTCCAAAGCTGGAACTGTTGCTGAAGCTCTTCCCACACTCACAGCAGATGTAGGGTGCTGGCTCCAGGTGGGTTCGGTGATGCACAGCCAGTGTGGCACTCTGGCTGAAGCTCTTCCCACAGATGTCACAGCGGTACGGCCGCTTGCCCAGGTGATCTTGCTGGTGTGTGGTGAGGTCTGAGCGCCGCCGAAAGCTTTCCTGACACTTGGGACATTTGTAGTGCTTCTCCTCCAGGTGGATTCGCTCGTGCCGGATGCGATTGGAGCTTCTTGAAAAGCTCTTGCCACATTCGGAACACTTGTAGGGCTTCTCGCCAGTGTGGATTCGCTGGTGTGTTCTCAGGCTGGAGGTATTGTTGAAGGTTTTGCCACACTGGGCACATGCAAAGGGCTTCTGGTCCGCCTCAGGCTTTGGATGAGCACTGGGGTCCCCTGGCCCTCCTGCTGAGGTAGAGGTAGTGACTTTCTGCCATGGCTTTTTTGGACATGTTCCTTCTGGCCCCTTCGATGGGCTCTCTTGCCCATCCTCCTTTTCCCCAGCTGGGATCCGAGAACCCTCTGAGCCATCCACTCTCCAAGGCTTACCCCCTTCCCCTTCCTCAGGCAGGTGTGGTTCTTGACTCTGCTCCTTCTCACTGCCCATCTCTGAACCCTGAGAATGAACACAAATGTTCAACACCTTTATTCCTCGGGTCAGGCCAGACCACAGGAAACTTTTCATTCTGGTTGAGGGGACGTAAACCTGCTCCCTCCTGGAATAACCTCAATTAACTGGAATATTTAGCCTCTACTTATTTTCAAGTGAGAAACTTTTCAGAGGTATTTAAAGCTACACATGAGAGCAAAAACACACTCACTTTGTCCACCACCAATAAAAGATACCTGCATTTTGAATGTCACTCATTTTAATACCATTAAACAATGTCTGGACGCTAATTTTTGCACACATAAAGGCACTTTCATTCTGAGATGAGTTTGATTTTTCTGCCTACCTATAAGTTAAGTAAAACCCCTTTTATATCTATTTTGAAAAATCTTCCCTAAAACTATTTACCTGCCTTCAAAATGAACATAACAGACTCTCACTCCTGAGGCTTTCCTAGTTGCCTTTGGAAGACCCACATCTGAATCCTAGTCAGTGTCCTGCCACCTCACACCTCTCCAGACCTCACCATAATTTAGCAATTGAAAGGTTACCATCTGGACCTCTAAGACCTACTGAAGGGCCTGAACTGTGCTATTCTGAATGGTCAGTGCCCAGTGTCAAATATCATAGAAAGCTACACACACACACACACACACACACACACACACACACGTGTCACATGATACACAGCCATACTCACATACCACAAACACATTTAGCCACATTCTCATACCATACATACATAACATACACACTGCATACACAATTACATTATATATAAACACACATACAGAGCTATACACGTATAGGTCACATATACCACATACAGCTCTCCCACAATATAGCCACATACAACATACATGGCTATATACATACACCACACAGCCATACTCACATACCACATACATACAACACAGAGACACACAAACCATACTCCCCCCACACACACACACACAGCTTAAACATACAGCACCCAGCACAAGGACTGTTTATGTCAACAACAGTAAATGCCTGCTAAGCAGCATAAATTCCTTTAGCTCCTATGGCCAAGGTAGAAAAGAAGAGAAAGAAAAAAGTATTTCTGATATGACAAGAGTGATGGCATGTCCTCTGGGACTTGAAGAAAAAAATGACATTTCAAAAAGCGAGGGGAGCCAGGCATGGTGCTGCACACCTGTAATCCCAGCACTCAGGAGGCTGCAGCAGGAGGATCACCATGAGTTTGAGATCAGCGTGGGCTATACAATGAGTTCAAGGCCAGCCTGCACTACAAAGTGACACCCTGTCTCAAAACAAAACAAAACAAAACAGTGGGCTGGTGAAATGCTGCCCAAAATGACAGAAACAAAGGGATAAGGGAGGGAAACACGGACTATGATAAACACTGATAGCAGACAGCGAAGACTGGTGATTTCTTTAGAGCTGCAAGGATTTTTGGAAAAAGGCCACAGAGTGAAAGAATGGGCACCAATTAGATTTAGTATAGGATTACAATAGTGACATAGACAATCTTTATAACTCGCGGCAAATTATTCAATCTAGCCTCAACTTTCTCATCACCAAATTGTGACACCTATCTACACCAGATGACTTACATTAGGAAAAGTGCCTGTACTATACTCAAAGCATGTGACATACACTAATCACTCAGCAAATAGCAGCTGCTATTACAGTTACTGAAGACATTATGTACTAGCTTGTGAAGAACACAAGAATTTTTAAAATCCTTTAAATGATCTTAATAGGAAAGGAAAAAATGTTTCAATTAAGAGTGCAAGATTGTATATAATCCTCTCAAATGTAAAACAGACATAGAACATCAACTATTTTGTTTTGGTTTGATTTAGTTTTTTTGTTTTTTGAGACAGAGTCTCACTATGCAAGGATAGCCTTGAACTCACTATATAGCCAAAGCTGGCCTCTAACTCACAGTGATCCTCCTGCCTCAGCCTCCCAACTGCTGGGATCATAGGAGTGTGCCACTACACCTGGCCTAGAACATCAACTCTTTAAAAAACAGAGGACTGCAAACTTTTTTGTAAAGGGTCAAATAATATAAATATTAGTAAATATTTAGAGCCATTGGATCACTATTGTAACTACTCAACTCTGCTTGTAACAGGAGAGCAGCATAAATAAAACATAAAGGAATGAAGGTGGCTGTGTTCCAACAAAATTTTATTTAAAACAACGGAAGACAAACTGCCATTTAACAATCACTGTTAAAAAATCTTGATATGCAATATAAAAAATAATAGCCTGCTTCACTTTCAAAAATGCAGGTAAACACCAAAAAGTATTTATTCTGACATTTATATTCATTTCCTTAATCATCCTTTTAAAGATTTCAAACCCTCCATCTTCTATCCTCCCTGCTACATATATTCCCAGTCCCTCTGCCCCATAGTTTATCTTACTGACTGAATTCTATTTATTTGTGTCTATTATTTACTATCTACCTTCCCTTGTTAAATAGTAATTTCCTGAGAGTTAGGATTTTGTTTTATTCACTAACGTAACACACACTCCTACAGCAGCGGCAAGCATGTACAGTAGCTCCTTAATAAGTATTTGTTGAGTGAACCCAATAAAGGCCAGACTTGTCTCCAGAACCCATTTCATGGTATTTTTTCACCCACTGTTCCTCAGCAATCTCCTCATTCCTGTCCACTTTCTCCTTTATGTGCCCACAGAATCTCATGCTTGCTTTTACAGTGATATGCAATCATTGGTTTCTGTCTGCTTCCACTAGTAGTCTATGAGAAACTTGAGGAAAAGGACTGAGTCATCTTAGTAATCTTCTGCAGCATAAGGCTAGGTGCTTCAGTGTCATCTAAATAAATGAGTGAATGAATGTGATTTTCAAGGTGGGTTTTTTGTACTGGGAATTGAACTTAGGACCTCATGTTGCCAGGCATGCACCATGCTGCTGAGCTACACCCCAGCACGGATATGATTTTAATCTACTCTCTGCCCCTCCCCACCCCACCTCGGCTCGATTAACAATACAGTGATTGTGGTCTTCACTCACTTCCCAAACTGCTGTTCTGTGTACCTATAACTTATCAAGGTCAAGCTCTCTCAGGAGTGAATGTAAGAGCAAAAAGATTTAGGATTATGATTACTACCTCAAATAGTTTATGATACAAGGTAGTGAAATAGACCATGAATTCCAGAAACTGTTCCAAGTTCCAAGAAATAAGAACAAGGTCTGTGTCTTAGTCACCTTTGTACCCACTTCTCACTGCCCAGCAAAGGGTATGGTGCATGATACAGGAATCAATAATAGCGTTTTTTAAAGATCCTACAAAGTACTAGGCCTTGGACTAAGCACTATATATCAATCATCTCATTTCATTTTTACTACTATTCCTTTGTCATCCTTATTTTAGAGATGAGGAAACTGAGGCTCAGAGAAATAACTTGGCCATGAGTATGCAGTAAACAGCAGAACTGGGGCATGTGCCCATCACTCCAAAGCCTGGGCTTTTAATCATTACGTTAGCACTAGTGGGACAAAAGGAGGGAAGAAAGGATGGAAAGAAAAGAAAAACAGTGCCACAGGAGTTCAGATGGCACAGGCATATCTTTCTGAAGAGATCAGAGATGAACAGCTTCACGGAAGAGATGGCATTTCAGCTAGTGTTGGGAACCAGGCTATGTAAGAGTTAAGTTGCTGACCATGAAGGGACCTCTGGCTCACATTCACATTGGAAAAGCTGGAAAGTTGGAAAAGCTCATATTCACATTGCTCTAAAGTCAAGATAACACCACAGCTGAGGCAGCCAGGAGAGAGGTAGCCAGGACTAGGGATGCTGGCCCTCCCTATTCCAGAGCAATAAAACTGTCAACCTTAAAGATCAAACAGTTCTCTTAATTAGCAAAATGTACTGCCTTTGTTCTAAGTTGGGGGGAAGGGGGGCTTTTGTATCCTCCTCTTTCTACACTCCCCAAATCCGTGAGAACCCAATAAATATGGTGATGTGGAAGAATCTTTGTCTCTACTCCCAGAGAGCTCTGACCTTCCTGGACTCCCCATGAACCATACCACTCGTCTCTTTTTATTTAAGCCTTTGCCATACACTGGTTTTAGGAGACAGCGGAATAGGTCAAGTCCCTGATAAGCTAGGACTTCAGAGTAAGCAGGACTAGGACTAGTAGACAAAGGACATTCACTACCTATTGAGAAGGCAACGCAGCTAAAATACAGTCACGTTCATACCACATTCCTAAGATTTGGAGAGAACCGGGCCTACTGGGCTGGTCTTCCTTAGGGGCTTAGCAACACAGGGCGGAACGGATCAGGCAATGAAGCAGCCAAGAAGATGCGCCCGGTCACCACAGATGATGAAGGCCAAGGCCCTGGGTCGCAGAGAAGACAAGCTGGAATGCGACCAAAGGGTCAAAGCTCCAGATCTAGGGCCAAGTCGTGGAGCGCGGAGAAGAGGTAGGAAAGATCAGGCGTTAGAGCTAAAGAACGTGTCCGACAGAGAGCACCAGGGGGGTCGAGGGCCCGAGGAGATGGCGAGGGAGAAGAGACAAAGGCTGCGCGCATCAGAGGGGTTGGGGGACCAGGGCCCCAGAGGCTGGGCTGTGCCCTGAGGCGAGGGAAGCCCACGCGACAGTCCACAGCGCTGTGGAAGGCAGGGGCTAGGTTCAGAGGGACCGCAAGGTGCGAGCGAACGAGCGGCCGACCCCGAGGTGCGGTCAGCGGCGGGCCTGCACGCACTCACAGGCCGGCCGAGGGAGGGCGGGGCGGGTGTGGGGACGCGCGGGCCGGGCGAGCGGCACCGGGGTCCGGGCGGAGGGACCACAGGCCGGCCCTCTGCTCCCTACTGTCGCCGCGGGGCAAAGCAGCAGCGTCCAAGTCCGCGGTGAGAAGGAAGGGGTCATCCTGAGAGCGCTCCGCAAAGTTGTGTCCGCCTCCCCCAACAACCTCCACCCAGCCGGGACCCACCTCGCTCCCGCCGCTTCCTCAGGGACAGCGCCGCCTGGGAGGGCCGGGAAGGAGCCGGAGACGGAACCCAGGAAGGGCCCGCCCTGCAACTCTAGGATTGGTTTCTAGGGGTGGACCTTCCTTTTTATTGGCTGAAGTACCTGCCACAATGCAAACGCTCGGGCCGGAGTACCAATGATCTTTAGCCTCGTGCGTGGCATGCTGGGAGCTGTAGTCCTGAAGAAAACGGTCGCCTCGCAGAGAACTTCTGCGAAGTTTAGAACGAGCTGTAGAGACTGGCTTCCCATCTTAGGTCGTCAGGTTTCCCTGCGGTTTTACTTTGAGTGGTGATCCTTGAAGATCCTCCGAACACCCAGCGAAGCCTAGAGTCCGGCACCTCACTCAAGATTTATAGTTTAGGGTCTGGGGATTTAGCTCAGCGGCAAAGCGCCTGCCTGGCAAGCGCAAGGTCGTGAGTTCGGTTCCCGGTACCGGAGAAAAAGCAAAAAAAAAAAAAAAAAAAAAAAGATTTATAGTTTAAAATTAAAGAAGTGTGGACCTGGAAGGGAGTTTGCTCAATCTCTTGTCCACTTCCAAGGAGACCTCCACCTCCTAACATGGCCTTCTGGATACTACATGCGTCTTCAATTAAATATGACACTTTCAAAATAGATACAGAATACCACTAAAGTATCCAGAACTAGGATTTTATTTTTCACGTTCTATTTTAAAAGATAAAGACTAATTGAATGTGTAGGCTAACTAAAGGTTTCTCAAGATCTGCACGGTATTTCTTTAAAGGGTAGGGGGGAACCCTGCCATCAGAGCTAGAGGGACCAGGTTTATAATCCCAGCTGTAGCACCTAACCATTTGAAGAACCGTTTTCCTCTGCGATAAAATACCTGGCAGAATTGTTATAAGGATTAAATGAGTTCATAGAAAGATGACAGACTGATAAAAAGATACATAGAGCTTCTAGTTCCACATTGTTCAGTTTCCTGCTGGTAAAGTTTTCTCAGTGCGTAGGGCCAATGCAAACAATATAAATTACTTTTAAGACTGGGGTATTTAGGAAAGTATGTTTGGAACTAAGTATGTGTGAGCAAAATATAAGTTTCTGTTCTACACTATTTGATCATTGATTTTATTTGATAAGTTGATTTAAAATGGGCGAGGGATGTAGTTCAGTGATAGAGTGCTTGCCTAGCATGTATGAAACCCTGGATTTAATATCCAGTACTGCAAAAAATATTTTCAATAAAAAATAAAATACTAGCGGGCATACTGAGAAATAAAACTGGCTTTATTATGAACTGCAGTTAAAGCTTGCTTGAGTAGATTCAAAACTGTTTAGAAACCAACCTCATAATGTGTGTTTCTGCTGCAACCAAAGTCCTCACAATTCCTCATTTATAATGAAGACAAAAGCATGCCAAACAATGACTAGCAAAGGTTTTATTTAAGAACAATATAAAAGCAAATGAAAAATTCCACTCAGGCACTGTGATGGTTAATTTTATATATCAATTTGACTAGGTCACCATGTGCCCAGAATTTGGCTAAACATTATTCTAGGTGTTTCTGTGAAGGTATTTTTAGATGAGATTGACATTAAATTAAAAAAAAAAAAAAAAAGTGAAACAGACTGCTCTCCCTAATGGGGATGTGCTCATCCAGTCATTTGAAGAATAGACTGACTAGAACAAATGGCTGACCTCCCCCAATTAAGAGAAAATTCTTCCTGTCTGACAGCTTTTGGACTGGACACCAGCTTTTTCCCCATCTTAAGACTTGAACTAAAACACTGGCTCTTCCTAGAGCTCAAGCCTAGGAGCTTTTGCCAGGCATGGTGGCACACGCTTGTAATCCCAGCACCCGGGAGGCTGAGACAGGAGGATCGTTGTGAGTTCGAGACCAGCCTAGGCTACAGAGTGAGCTCAAGTCCAGCCTCAACTGCATAGCGAGACCCTGTCTCAAAAAGACCAAAAAAAAAAAAAAAAAAAAAAAGCCTAGGAGCTTCCATAATCATAAGAATGACTGTGAACTATTTCTTTGACTAATACAGAAACTAGTGGGAAGACTTCTGATTGGCAGATCTAGTTCCTGTTGAGCCAAACTATGTTCCCATCTGCAAACAGACAGCCAATATCTCCACAAATAGGTCAGATCACACATATGGTGTGACCTGAAAGTAAGTAGCCTTCTTTCTGCAATCCACACCCAAAAGTCAGATTCATTATTTTATCCTCACACCTTTCAAATGACAAGGCTGCCAACTTCTTTGAAATCAATACTCTCTGACCCAAGAGACTATTTCCTGCAGAAATCACCAACTCTTCCAGTATAATAATTACAGGGGAAAGCTCTATATGAGTGATTTAAATTGCCCCTGGGCTTCTCTGAGTCTCAGGAAGGTATTCCAAAGGGCCAGCACATCTGACTGATTCATCTGCTCGTACCTGTTCAGAGCCATACACAGCTGAACTGTTCTGTTTGCAGCTGTGCCTCCTGGCTCCCTGACTGCTCCTCAGACTTCTCAGGATTATGGCTCTTGCTCTGGATATCTCCTAATTATGCTGCAAACAGCATCCAAAAAAAAAAAGAAAGAAAGAAAGAAAGAAAGAAAAGAAAAGAAAAGAAAAGATCCAACACTTTATGAGGCTGAGACAGGAGGATCACAAGTTTGAGCATCACCTGGGCACATTAGCAACTTAGAAAGACCCTGTCTCAAAATAAAAAATAAAAGATGACTAGGGATGAAGCTCAGTATAAAAGCCCTGGGTTTAATCCCCATTCTTGAATTTCAAAAAATAGTAAAGAATGGCATGTTTTAACCTTCTGTCCTACCTTCATTCCTGAAGAAAAAAGGAGGGTGTGTGATCTAGAACATATTTGCTTTTAAAAAGCTGACTTTGGGGGCCTGAGGTGGGGGAGGGGAGAGAGAGAGAGAGAAAGAGAGGGAGAGAAAGAAAGAAAGAAAGAAAGAAAGAAAGAAAGAAAGAAAGAAAGAAAGAGGAAGGGAGGAAAGGATAGACAGAAGGAATGAACAGTCCTTGATGGAAAAGAAAGAAGCTAGGGCTTGGGAACTATCTCTTCAAAGCCAGAGCACAGGATAAGACGGGTAGAGATTCTTATAAATATTCCCTCAAGTAAAGAATGCTTCCTCCGACCCTAAGTTAAACCTGGTGACACAATTCAACATTTTCTCCTAAACCTAAATTGAGCATTTGGTTTTTACGAATCTCCTTCTAGAGCAATGGGAATTTCAAGTCCCTAGAAGAGAGGCAGGGTTCAAAATGAAGCCCTAGGAGAAAAGTTGTACAAATAGGAAGTACAAAAGGGTCTGGATTTGAGTTAAAGAGAAATGATACTCCAGAATCAGGTGTTGACTCAAGAGCCTTAAAACCCAGAAGGCTTGAAATCTAGCAGGGTCACAGGAGCAGTTCATGAGGCATAGCCCTAAAAAGAAGGAACCTTGAGCTTTTGAAGGGCTGGGCCAAGGTCAGAAGGCCAGGACGGGACCATGTCATCGAATGGGAAAATCTCCGGGGCCTGCGGGGGCAGTAAGGAAGGGTTCACCTTCAAGGACACATCTCCATTAGCATGGGGTTTTTCTTCTGGCTTGCAGACAGCTGATTCCTCTGATTTCTGTAGTTCTGAACAAATCATTAGAGGTGCTGTGTTTTCCCCTCCATCATGAAGACAAGGTTCAAAGAAAGGGCGGACAGGGCCAGAGAAAGTGTGAGTGAAAGTAAAGATGTGGGATTTGCTGGTCACACTGTAGAAGGAGATGATGCCGGCTTCGTAGTCCAGAAAAATCCCCACACACCTTAGCAACTCTTTCAGGCGGAAGCAGGTCTGTGGGGATGTGAGAGCCTCATACTCATTCCTACGACTCTGGCGAAGAAGCCAGTGTCCATTGGCAGGCGAGGCAGTGACCTTCCCCTTCCTGAGCACCGACTCACTGCACACCCCAAGGACCCATTTGGTCTTGCCGCCCACGTGCACCTCCCAGTAGTGACAGCCAGCTGTGAAGTACTCGGAGCCCAGCACGCTGACAACGAAATCAAATCTCTGCGGGTTGTTGGGCACAGCCTGCTTCGTGTCGCCAAGTCTCACGCATCGCCGGTCCTCAGACAGGATGAGCTTCGGATGTGCTGTATCTGGATCCAGGGTCACTGCCTCTGCAGAGAGTCACAGAGAGGAGAAGTTTGGGGAAGCCAGGTCTTCATGTATCTTTGGTAGCTTGGGAAGAAAAAATAATCTGTAGTTCTATGACCACTGTCATTGACCTATTTTTTCTTTTTTTCATGAGTCCCTGGCCTCTCATACTGGAACTAAAGAATACCGTCTTTCAAAGAGTAGGTCATCTAGCAGTAGGGTACAAAATAAAAGAGGAAAAAGTTTATCTGTCTGTGAAGGTACTTTAATCTTGAGAAAAACTACCTTTGTCTTTGATGTTCCAATGAAATCTAACGTTTGATAACAGACAGGATTGATGTTTGAGTCTCAGCTTTTCCATGCATGACTGTGGGCTTGTTATTCCTCTCTAAGCTTAAGTTTCCTCATCTGTAAAATGGGAATAATAGTAGAACCTAGACTGAAGGGTTGCCATGCAGATTTAATGAGTTAATGCATGAGATTGTACCTCGTTCCTACACTAACTTGTGTGGTGCTTATTTTGTTACCCAAAGTTGTTGCTTATAATGATCACTTTAAAATGTTAACAGAGAAAAAGATTTTTACTTAAATTGGTGATTGTAAGAAGGTCATAGAACGTCTCCCTCCTCCCCTAAGTATAGGAAACAGGATCTTCTCTGAGAGTTATGAAATCCATGTTTGGCTTAGGCAGTGGGAGTAAGCTAGACTGTGAATGCAAGAGCGGAGGCTTATGAGATCCTAGAACGCCGATCTAGACTACCTATGTTATCTCAAGTGACCAGCTGATCGATTCTGCCTGTACTCTGCAGGAAGGAAGATAGTGTGAACAGGATGGGAATTAAGGGCCTGGAAAATTAATAATGAGCCCAAAACAGTAAAAATAACAATTTTGTTCCAGTTGCTGCAAATATACAAATTATTAAGAAATAGATGCAAGGGGCTGGGGATTTAGCTCAGCGGCAAAGCACCGGCCTGGCAAGCGCAAGGTCGTGAGTTCGGTTCCTGGTACCGGAGAAAAACCAAAAAAAAGAAATAGATGCAAAGAAAGATGTGTAAATATTTTAGAATAATACTATGAAATCTTTTTTAGTCTATAATTGTTGGGACATCTGCCAACTCATGCCCTTCTTTAAGAATCTTAGTCGCTATCCCCTCCAAGAGAACTGGTCTGCAGAGAAAGAAGGCTGTGGAAAAAGCATAGAAACAGGGGCTGTTTACCCCATTGCAGACTAGGAAGGACTTCCCAAACTGGAAAGCACCTGAAAACACCACACAGAAAAAGATTAGTGCATTCAGCTGCATAAAATAAACACTTGGGCATTAAAAAATACTATAAGGAAATTAACAACCAAAAAGTAGTCCAAGCTGGGCGTGGTGGCACAGGTCTGTAATCCCAGCACTCAGGAGGCTGAGGCAGGAGGATCATTGTGAGTTCAAGGCCAGCCTAGGCTACAAAGTGAGCTCAAGGCCAGCCTGAACTACATAGCAAAACCCTGTCTCAAAAAGATAAAAAAAAAAAAAAGTAGTCCAGCTAAGAGAGGAGCAGACAAGTCACAAAAAAGAAATAACTGACAAACTGGGGAAAAATTTTAAAAAAAAAAGGAACCTCTTAAGATCAAACCTAATATTTATCAGCGCTCTGAAAAGAGACTTTCCAAATCTATTTTTTTTTTGGTTTTTTTTTTGGGGGGGGCAGGTTTTGTTGTTTTTTTTTCTGGTACCAGGAATCGAACTCACAACCTCGCACTTGCCAGGCAGGCCCTGTGCCACTGAGCTAAATCCCCAGCCCCCAACTTTCCAAATCTAAATGTGACCCTCAAAAAAGTAATCAGAAAGATTTTTAAAAATTTGATAAGCAGGTACAGCTGGGCACAGTGGGACACACTTGTAATCCCAGCTACCCAGAAGGCTGAGGCAGGGGATTACAAATTTGAGGCCAGCCTATGTAACTTAGAAGACCCTGTCTCAAAATTTTTAAAAAGGATGTGGATAAAGCTAAGTACTACTGGGAGTGCAGTACATCTCAGTGTTGAGAAAGAAAAAAAAAAAGACAGGTAAATAGATTTGACAATTTTTTTTTTTCAAAGTACAATTCACTTTCAAAAGGAATGGAGCAAAACCTAAAGGTTATAGAGCCTTCAGAAGGATGAGCTCTGAAATGAGGATCAATCAGATTGGTATAACTTACCAAAATGCAGCCGGGCTCTTCTCCAGCCTGAAAGACATGAAAAGGGTGCTAAATTTGGATCGTGAATATCTTCCAAAGGACCATGTGAGGAAGGTTTGTTCCTCCACATATGGTGCTATTGGGAGGAGAGGCCTAGTGGGAGGAAGTTAGGTCATAGGGGCATGCCACAGAAAGAGATGTTAGGACTCCAGTTCCTTCACAGCAAGACCCTGTCTCAAAGAGACAAAAAAAAAAAGCAAGAGCTGGGCATGATAGCACACACCTCTAATCCCAGCACTTGGGAGGCTGAGGCAGGAGGATCACTGTGAGTTTAAGACCAGCCTGGGCTACACAGTGAGTATGGGCCAGTCTAAACTACACAGTGAGACTCTGTCTCAAACAAAACAAAACAAAAAACTACAGCAAATACTTAACTCTTTAAAAATTTCTTGAGAGTAAAAACTATATTGCCATTAATCCCCTTCCAAATACTCTCTCTTGCTTCAAACACATCCCATTGTTCTTGCAACTTTCTGAAACAGTTCTGGAACTCCTCTTTCATGTCTTTAGTTGTGCTGTTGTGGTTGTCTCAATGTCTTGAATCAGTTCAAGCGTTTAACTTTCATGATCACTTTGACTTTGTGGAAGAGCTAGAAGTTGTCCAGTGCCAGGGCAGGGAATAACGTGAGTGAGGATACACATGATGTTTTTATGAGCTTGTCTTTCTGCAAGGTAATACACAGTAGCAGCACTCACTGTTATATTTTTTTATCACACCTTGTAAAGACATTCAGGAAGGGGACTTCTAGAACTGCTTCAGAAACAGTTCAAGAACAACAGGGTAAGTGTGTTTGAATTGAGAAGGAGTATTCTTTTTCTTTTTTGAGACAGGGTCTCACCATGTATTTCAGGCTAGCCTTGAACTCACTTTTTAGCCCAGGCTGGCCTCAAACTCATGGCAATCCTCCTGCCTCAGCCCCTCAAGTACTAGGATTTTAGGTGTGTGGCACCATGCCCAGCAGAATATCTTTTTGTTGTTGTTGTTGTTTTGAGACAAGGTCTCACTATATAGCCTAGAGTGGCCTCAAACTCACAGCAGTCCTCCTACCTCAGCCTCCCGAGGAGGAACAATATTCTCAGGGAGATTTAATGGCAATGTGTCTTTTACTTTTAATAATTTTTTTATTTTTTAACTGCAGCTACAAAGCAAAGAGTAAGGGGCTGGGTCCCATTGTCTCCTTCTCTGGCACACTCTGAGTGACCTAACTTCTGCCTACTAGGCCCCATCTTCCAAAGGCGGCATCATATGCTTTCAATATATGGGCTTTTAAAGGACATTTTGGATTTGACATACACTGTATTTTCAAAAGTCTTATTAGTACATGATTGCAGTGCATGATGATTACATCTTCATGGGGAGTTCCCACATGTATGGAACACATCTTCATTCTTCTTTTCATCCCTTACCCCTCCTACACCTCTCTCCTCCTTCCAACTCTTGGTCCCCTTCCCACTTGTAAAAGGTATATATTTTCTATATATTTCAATTATGTATAAGAGAAACCCTGTGATATTTACCCCATTGTTTGTGCATTTGACTTATTTTACATAGTATCAGGGTCTCAGGGTACATCCATTTACCTAAAATTTTTTTTATCAGAGCTTGTGCCTTTCCAGAAGCTCCAAAGCAATTGGTGAACTGGCTATGGATTGAAACCTCCAAAAGTGTGAGTTAAAACAAACCTTCCCTCTTTATAATTGTTTATCTCCAGTACTCTGTCACAGTGAAGGAAAGCTGACTAACACAAGATCATTAAAGCACTAGATAACATGAGACCTCCCATAGGTCGGGAATCACACGCGGGCAAGTGCATCTCACCTGAGTTGGCTGCACTTCTTTTCAACTCTGTGGGAGAAGAAATGAAAGGATGAGCTCTCACTGACAACACTGGGACAGTGGGAGGTAAGTTGTTATGGAAGTTATAGGAACATGAGAAACTTACTCAGTTCACTCCGGAGTTTCTCTAGAGAATAAAAATAGTTTGACAAATCAGAATGTGGGCTACTACCTAGCCTCAATGTTCCTGTCCCAGTCCTGTCCCCGTATTTCAAGAGCAGATCCTCAGCGGCCATATCCTGCAACTTTCCCATAAGAATGTCTGCAATAGCAATAGCTCCTGGCTCTGGGCCATCCCCAGAGTACAACAGAGGGTCAGCAATCCCTATGTGAGCCAAACCTTACCTGCAGACCAAATAAATAATACATCTCACACCTATAGGTAATGACAATATAAATGGATGTAGAGTTCTGGGAGAATATAAATGTGTGTGTGTGTGTGTGTGTGTATATAGGAAATATATATATATATATATACACACACACACACACACATATATATACACACACACACATATATATATACACACACACACACACACATATATATACACACACACACATATATATATACACACACACATGCACAATATATGTATATATCATATATACATATATATTTAGTTTTTTGCAATACTAAGGATCTAATCTAGGGCCTCATGCATGTTATGCAAGCACCCCTATCACTGTACCTCTTGAGTCTACAAGTTCATTTAAAATTATCACTGAGGGGCCAGGGATACAGCTCAGCAGCACAAGCACCCACCTGGCAAGCATAAAGTCCTGAATTTGATCCCCAGTACCAAAAAAAAACTATCACTGAGTCATTTT